GACGTCTGTGTGTCTATACAGATGGACCCCGCAGAGGGAGGGACCTCGTGTGCAGACGTCTGCATCTACATAGATGGACCCTGCAGAGGGAGGGACCTCGTCTGTGGATGTCTGTACAGATGGACCCCGCAGAGGGAGGGACCTCGTGTGTAGATGTCTGTGCATCTGTGTACAGATGGACCCCGCAGAGGGAGAGACCTCGTGTGCAGACGTCTGCATCTACATAGATGGACCCCGCAGAGGGAGGGACCTCGTGTGCAGACATCTGTGCGTCTGTACAGATGGACCCCGCGGAGGCTCTTGGCGCTGAGGATGAGGACAGCACTGGACCCCAGAGGCGGGCGCAGCCAGGAGCTGGGAGGGCGAGGTCTTACCTATCTTCTTGCTGCGTTCCTCCCCACGGTTGTGCGCAATAATCGGTGAGTAGATGAAGGGACTCTTGGTGGACATGTTCTGGCCCAGCAGGCTTTTCATTTTCTGTGGCCGGAGGCTAACAGGAAGGTTCAACAGCTTCACATGCCTGTTGTTTCAAACGGAGCAAAAATACGTTACAGAATTGTTAGCACACAAGCCCAGATCACATGAGGAGCTTTCACAACCAACAAAGGATTCTGAGGTGGGCAAGAACTGTAACCCGGCAAGCGGTGGCGGCCCTGCCTCGTAGGTTGGACGTCCACACAGACTGTCATCTGAGAAAACACGTCCTGCAGAACAGGCTCTGGCTAAGGGCTGCACAGCCCACGTGGCGGGCCTCACACATCCACGGACGTGCACCGCTCAGGGAGCAGCCGCGAGTGGAATTCCTGGGATGCAGGGTTCTTTTTAGAGCTTCTGTTTGGACAGTGTCGCCAATGCCCTCAGCATACAGTGGTTAACGGGGACCAGGCAAAGCAGGCACAGACACCAACCAAGAGAGGGGCACCAGGCACGGCGGGTGTGGGAACCACACCAGGAAACGCAACTCGCCCTCCATCTGCCATCCAGCGTGGATTTTTAGCCGTTTCCTATGAAGTGGACAATGACTAAAATGGTCTCTTCTGCCCCACGTCTGTGACAATGTGGAGGCCACCTGCTCCCCGAGGCCTCACAAGGCTGAGACCACTGCCGAGATGCCAGACCACCACACCCCTATCCTCAATGCCATCGGACATTTCCCACGACCACTACGTTCCTAAGGAAGGAGGGACTCGGCCACGGGCCCACAGACGAGGGCAGAGGTGTGGGACAGGAAACAGCGATGATGGAGGTGATGACAAGAAACAGGACTGATGGTGGTGACAGACAGGAAACGGAGCTGATGGAGGTGAAGGACAGGAGACGGCGCTGATGGCAGCACTGAGCCCACCAAGCACCTTCCCCCATTGTTCAGAAGGCATCACTGCCTCACAATACAGGCGGAGCCTGCTCCTCTCACACACGATGGCGCACGTGAGCCTCCCTCAGGGCGTCCTGCACAATCGTCCGCGATGTGTTCAAGGTCATTTTTCCTGTCTCTTCTCTTTCTACTCGGCAGAGCAAGACTGCACACGGAAGTTTGCAGGAGAAAGGTGTGCATAAGCACACTCTCTGAACGCTCTCTCGGGACCAGCAGTGGAAAGCGCGGTGGTAGTGGCTGCATGGCGCACTCTGGCGAGGCTGTGGGAGTCTCGAAGTGGCTGACTATCCAGGTTTATAAATAAGAAAAATCACCCTGAAGGCATACAGATTCTATGTCCTTTTTAAGTAAACCTCTCTAGTCTTTTCCCTAGCAGGGCAATTAACCTGAAAGTTTACATTTTAAAAGCACCAGAAGCCACTCAAAGAAACTCAAAGCTTGGGCTGAGCAGAGGGTCTCAATACTTTCAACATAAATACTATGACTATGACCACAGTTTCTTTCAAAATGAAAGAACTCAATGTTAACTGAGTCGGAACCACTGCCGTCGGGCCCCGCTCAGGGTGACTCTCCACCAGGCTTCTGAGGGTGTGAATCTTCATCCGTGGAGATGGTCCATCTCACACACAACCCCCCAACCCACATTCCCAGGACTTGATACATTACAGGACCGAGATCCTCCAGATGAAGGGACTCAAGGTGAGTTCATCCAAAAATCCAACCACCCCCCTCCTTCCACTGCCCTACCAGGTAAAGTCAAGGACTGGCCCTCAACGCCAAGGGCATGTAAACATGCAACTCCACCCAACCCAACGCGGGATGATCTGTACACTGGAATGTACGAATCTGCCGAGTTATTTTGGGGCTGGTATCCTCTTAGCTTGGAAGCAGGAGTGGCATCCACTTCCTACACAACATGCCTCCAGAAACTCTATGAACTTGGATAAATGTCGACAGTCACAGAAAGGCTCCAGGCCTTCTATTCACAGGGTCGCTATGAGACGTGCCCGACTTGAAGACAATCAACATCAACGATCCTCTCAGCTCCAGTATACAGGAGTTAGTAGCTTTTGTGAGGAATTCTGTGAAACATAAAGTGAGCTTGTCTGTTGTTTTAACTGAACTTCCCTCCTGAACTCTGAACAGTGGTCGTGGGATGGGGGGCAGCCTCTGGCCAGGGGGAGGCTGGGTCACGCCGCTAAAGCCAGCCACTTCCAGGCAGGCTGGTCCCTTTTAGGTCCTCTGTGAAACTGGGTTCACTGCATTAAGTAGAGAATTAAGAGGGAACTCAATTGAAAAGGGGCCCCCTGCTCATGAACTCTCCTCGGAATGGCCTGAAACCATTTCTGGGTGAGCCCAGTCACCACGCCCATGCCAAAGAGAGCAGATTTTCCTGTAAAAAAGAGAATGGTTTCACTGTCAAAAACTGGTTAAGAAAAAAAAGTTCTAACTACCTATTCTAAACGAAAATAATAATGCCAAGGCTGCTCCGACCATCGCGGCTGGAGCTCCACAGTCCGCTCCGACTCCCAGCGAGCCTGCCCGACCCAGCGGGAGGGGTCTGCAGGGCGATGACCGGTGGTGAGCCTTCCAGGGGCTACTCTCTCCTCTCTGTCTGGAGCAGCTGGTGGTTTGAGCTTGCTAGAAGGCTGGTGATGGAGTGCTTCCCCACTGCGCCACCAGAGTTCCTTTACCCTCCGCACAGCGAGAAGCTGTGTTGCCAGGTGCCAGCCTGTGGTCCTGACGCACGGAAGCCTTCAAACACAGTAGAACTGCGGGCAGGGACTCCTCGATGAAACGTTCCAGAGGAGAACTGTTACGGGGGATTCAAATCCCTCAGCGCTGAGTGGGCAGCAGAGCTCTACACACTGTGCCACCAGGCCTCTCAGTGAGCTCTTTACAGGCCGTCCTACCGCCCAGGTCTGTTTCCCTGCGGCCCTGTGTGCAAGGTCACTTACCGGACAATGGGCAGCTTGGTGAAGGGCACTGGGGGCAAGGTGAGGCCGTCTGGCAGTGTGATGGGCTCCATGGTCCCAGGACACTTGGATGTGTAGGTCTCCAGGCTCTGAGTCACGTCTTTCTTCTCTGGAAAGAGAACAAAACAAAGGGCCACTAGACAGACGTGGAAGTGGGTAGAGCAGAAAGAAAACTTCTACCCCAAGCGCAGTCCACTGGGCCCAGTCCTCTGACCAAGACAGAGGCAGAGAGCACAGGAGACAGGACAGCTGCCGTAAGCAGACCAAGGCCCTGCCTGGTCAAGACAAAGCAAACACTGGACGCTCACAACCTGGATCCTCACACAGAAGCTGTCTCCTGATAACGATGTGGTTATGGAAACAGGGGAGGCAGCAAATAAGAAACAGTAACAACGTCTTGGTGCCCAGTTAACATACTCCACTGCTTATGTACTGAAAGCCGGTGAGGACGTCCAGGCCGGGAGGACCCACTCACGAGCTCCTCTCCCCCTCACCTCTTGACGAAGGAAAGTCTTGAGAAGTTCTTTTCTGTCTCAGCACTTTCCTGCCGGTCAGAGAAAGTGTGACATGTGGTGACCCCAGCGTGAAAGGTGAGAACAGACAGCTGGGGACCTTCTTCCATTCACTAAGTAAGCCAGAACGGGCTGGGGTCCAAGACTCAGAACAAAAGGCGAAGGAGTTACTGTCTCCTCCACGCCCCAAGAACACATGCATCCGACAGTCCCAGCAGAGCCCGAGGCAGGCCTGGGCCTCGGCACACTTTACCCCTCAACAAAGGCCTCACAGCAACTGCCGGGTGTGAAGCAAAATGCCAGGCCCTGTCTTCAAGAAGCTCATCACCATTTATGCGACTGACGAAACATGAATGATTAATTACAAATCAGTACTTCTGACACAAAAATAGTGCTTGTGAGGCAAGCTGGTTTCCCCCAGGCCCATGCCACAGGAGAGGAAAACACGGGACGCAATAAGCACTATGTGCCAACCGTCTGTGGCCTATCTGGCATTCCGCTGGCTCTAAAGTATAAGAGGAGCCCTGGTGGAACAGTGCATTTACTGTTGGGATGCTAACTAAAAGGTTGCCAGTTCAAATCCGTCAGCTGTCTGAAGGAAAACAATGAAGCCCTTTGCTTCCATAAAGGGAAGAGCCTTAGACACCGCACTGAGCAGTCCTACTCCAGGCTCCAGGGTCAGCATCGACCCAACAGCGGTAGGCAGACGTGCAGTTACTCAAGGCAGGAGGCACCACTGACCCCATTTACAGATGGGAAAGCAGAACAAATACAGTCCAAAGCCCATCAAAGCCCATGCCTTTGACCCAAAGCCTATGTATTCACGGGAGACAATGAGGCTGTTCAGTATCTGTGTTCTCCGTAAAACCTCAAAGTTAAGGCTGACAGAGAAGGACAGGGTTTAGAAAGGAAAATGAGATCTAGAGTAACGGAGCCAAGCTCAGCTTCAAAAATGGTTTGGTCCTTCATTATCTGCCAGGGAGTTTTCGGTACTTAGGGAAAGCCAGTCGCCCTTTCTGAGTCCTCTTTTCACGCAGAAAAGGACCTCTCTAGAGAGCCGATGCCTCCAAGCGGTGGTGCTGGAGAAGAGCACTGACCACCCCGTGGACCGCCACGGGGACAAGCAGGTGGTTCTTGGAGGATATGCTGCCAGAGTGCTCCTTGGAGCAGGAAGGGGAAGCTCTGTCGCTCGTCCTCTGAACATGGTGCCAGGAGAGGCTCTCCTTGGAGAGGGGTACCACGCTGGGAAAGGTGGAGGGTCGACCAGGGAAAGGAAGACTCCCAGCAAGACGGACCGACAGAGTGTCGGCAGCAGCGGGCTCGCGCCTGTCGGAGACAAGGAGGGCACAGGGCAGAGCAGGGTTCAGGTCTACTGCTCACCAGGTCACTCTGAGTCTCACTCAACTAGAAAGCACCAAACCACCACAGCAAACGATGAAGGATAAACTGAGATAATGCACTGAAAAACAGAGCCAGGTCCCCACGGGCACCAGGTGAACAGACACAACCATGCTGACGTCGGCACTCAGGAGGAAATTTCACAAGGCTGCCAGAGACGCAGCAAGTGGTGTGCAAATGGAGGGTGAGTCCCCCCCAGGCTGGTGGGTGCAAATCACTAACGTTAAGGCAAGGACTTCCTAGAGCTCAGGCATGTAGATTAGCTGGTACACGACGGCAGCAGGTGTCTTTCCGTGTCTGAGCGCCACGCTCTGCAGGGTACAGACGGGCAGAAAAGCAACGGAAGGTTAATTACGAAGACCACACCATAATGCTCCTCTGCACATTAAAAAATATTTAAGATAATACAATTACCTTCAATGTATCAATGGTAAATTTCCCAGAGGGCTCCAGGCAATACCACGTGAATTACCTAAATGTGTTAATGCCAAGTAGGGCACTCAAGTATTAACTCTTAAGCTGAATCATCCCAGCACCTTATGTTGAAATGAGGGCAGAAAAGGCCTGCTCGTGGTAACCAGCACCACTCCTATTCACCAGGCCGTCCAGGAAGGAAGAGGAAGCACGCTGGGCCTCCTGAATTAACTACAGATGGCATTTACTGGACCAAACAACGTAAAACACGAGCAACGTGATAAATCTAACGGCTGCGGCTTCACCTCTGAAGTGAAGATTTTTGTTTTCCTGATGCTGAGATGCAATCTACATTGAATGCGCTGTGTGTGCGTGTGTGTGTGTGTGCGTGTGTGTGTGTGCGTGTGTGTGTGTGTGTGTTGTGTTCTCTTGTGTGTCCTCCAGCCAGAAGCGACCCGTAGCAGACCCTCCAGTAAGTTTTCCGAAGCAGTAAGTCACACAGGACACAGAGCAGGTGGTGGATTCAAAGCACGTAACGTGTGTTAGTCGCACGATTCCTTACCACGAGCTGCCACTTACACATTCAGTGACTTTCTTTTTGGTGCTTCATTGTCCACTGTCCAAGCTGAGACCTGCGACCTCTGGCTAAGGCACCACAGTTCCCTCACAGCATGCATGCTTTCTGGTTGGTCTCCAGCCCCACACCCACAACCAAGGATTCTCCAGGAAACCCTGGAGCCTTTTCTTTACGGGAAATGGGTGTCTGGAGACCAGACTCGAGGCTAAAATAGCGGACTGCTGCGAGATTCTTCGCGTAGGGGCAAAATTGCAGGGTTGCCGTTTGGTGGGTAGAGAGGGAGGGGGTGAAGGAAATGGAAAGGGTAAGAGTGAAGAGACAGGGTAAGGAGGGGCCAGGTGCACTGGTGACTAATTTTATAAAACAAAATGTATGAGAATGACTGGATGAAATGCAACATGAATGAAGAATAGTGTGAAACACAATGTATACAAACTTTGTAAGCAAACCAATATAAAACTAAAAAAGCCCTCTTTTAATATGCGATTTCCCCCACACTCTCCTCCACTGACACGATGCTTCATGCAATCCTTCGCATACACTGTGTTCTGTAAAATGAACCCCCGCTGGCCTCTGCTCACCATGACCCTGTCTTTTCAAGTCCTCACTGGATCTTTCCCATTTCCTTTCCACGTCCCTCCACTCATCCACGTGCCCTGTCCACACAGTGCAGGACAACAGCCCGAGTCACCGGCCACAGAACCAGCCCCCACCGGCTCCTTTCATCCTGAGAAGGGGCCTGGCGGGCAGCTCTGGGCCCCACTCGTCAGACCAAGAATGCGGGGCTCCTGCCAGCTCCTCTTCCTCCCGGTTCCTGGCCACTTCCACAAAGCACCGCGAGCCTGGCCGGTGGAGGCGCCCCAATCACTGCTCGTCCCACTTTTTCTCCATTTACCAAGTTGCTCCTTTCCTTTTTCTTTAATGTCCTGTGATTTACTCACACATGTTCCCAGTTATCCCACCAAGCATCCCTGGTGTGGCACCTGAGCACGTCCCAGTCACAACCCAGCAGCCAGGTGACAGGAGCCAAAACACAACCTGTCAGCCACTGACCCTACAGAGAAGACAGGCCGCAGTGGCTTCAGGAAAAGGGGGCATCTGGCCTTGGTTGAGGCTCGCGGAGCCCTGGAGACAGCAGGAGCTGGGAGCTGCTCTGTGTTGTAAGGGGAAACGACACATTCAGGACACAGGATGAAGCAGGACACAGAATCACAAACCATGCACACAAGGCAACGCTCTACAGAGAAGGTGCCTGCGCCATGAGCAAGGGGCAGCTAACTGAGGGGACAACCTGGGCACACATCTGAGGGCTGGCCGGGAGGGCAGGGCATCTGAGTGGACACAGCAGAGGTAATCACGGTCCTGGCTGCAGGGGGAGGGAGAAGCCCAGAAGCAAGCTGCCCGGGCCTGGCTTTGCTGGGCTTCCCTCACTAGCCCGCTACTATGCATGTGTCTTGAACTCGTCACCTTCTATGTCAAAATGACTCCTGAGAGACTCACTTGCTACAAAAACTGCATTATGATGGTAGAAGATGAAAACAGGCCCAGCAGGCAAGTACAGGATTCCTGTCCGGGGACAGATGACCAGGCGTGGGGATGGATTCATTCTGCTGATCCACCCACTGACCGACTCCTGGGCTGTTCCCACGTCTTTGTTACTGTAAGTAATGCCACAATGAACACGCTGTTGTTGGGTCCCGGAGAGTCAGAACTGACCCACAGCTGACCCTCCAGCAGGCTTTCACACGCAGTTAATCACACAGGAGACTGCCCATCGTTCTCCCACAGAGCAGCTACTGGATTTGAACCGCATGTCTTCAGCACTGCAGCGCAGCCTCTGACCACTGGGCCACCAGCGCTCCATGCTGCTGTTCTGCATTGTTGAGTCGGGACCGGCCCATAAACGACCCTCCGGCGGGTTTTCAGAGGCAGTTAACTGCACAGGAGGAGACTGCCCATCCTCCCCCTGCACAGCCGAGGGTGGATTTGAACTGCGTGTCTTCAGGCCTGTAGAGCAGCCTCTTTCCGCTAGGCCACAGAGCTCCCTAGGCGGGCATCTATCTGCTCAAGGTGCAGCTCTTAGTTCTTTGCGATGGATACCAAGCAGCAGGACTGCTGGATCAAGTGGTGCTTCTAGTCCCAGCTTCCTAAGAAGTGTCAAAGCTGCTTTCCGTGGTGGCTGTGCCATTTTACATTTCCATCGGCGGT